CACAACAAATCTTAGTTGGAGTCAACTTGTCGAAGATGCTACAGAATTGCTCATACATTGCATACACTACAACAGCGACAACTGAAGAGGGACACGATGAAGATTGATTGAAAGGTCGGACTCGCCACAATGAGATTAATCAGCGTTGTTCTTCAAGAACTTCTATCTCGTTGTACAGCGCAGCGGTGGATTTTGTTCCTTGGTCTTTTGCAAGCACAAATGTTCTTAATGCATTTAATACATCCTCGTGTTTAACACCACGGTGATGTATCATCCACTTTGCTGAGCTTTTCTTAGCAGAAAGAGGCTCCAGCTGAGTATTCAGATGATCTATCAAATACTGGTTGTTACGAGAATTTAATGATATTCAAAAAGTGGCAAGGACTTACATGAGTAAACACCATGCACTCCGCTATCAATAGTACAGCAAATGTGGTTATGCCATTAACGAGAATGATTTACCTTTTATTTCCTTCCCCTATTCACTTTGAATAATTTACCTGTTATATTGTGAGCTTATGTGATTATAATTTCGCAGGATTAAAGAGGGAAGTATTTTCAACCAAGATTTCTCAGTTTAAGATAAATGGTGGGTTAAGTTTGAACCTGTGTTTTCGTGAGCTCAAGAATAGCGTTATTTTGTTTGTTCCTAACTCCACTAACTCAATGAAGTACTTCGGAAAACGATTCCATGGCATACTGGGGAACTGAATTATAAGTTGTAGTTGCTACGATGTGAAAATGCACTGACTTTTTTGCCAGACCACTATATTTAGAAAGGAAAGAAAAGGAAGAATCATGAAAAAAGGGTGTATGTTGGGTGTATGTTACGAATACAAATGTTCCAAACTGTTTGCACCAGACTTCAACCACTAATAGCTTCGTTAAGCTGCGGATACTTAAAACTCTTTATCCGGAAAAAAAACGAATAGCTTTCAAGAATTGTTGACTTTTTTCCGAATCTAATGAAAATTGGTGCACTTAAATGACATCTGTTTACGAATATGATAACCACTCAACGATCAGATTGATTTCATTGATTTATTGATTTCCGCACATTCCCCTCTAGGGCACTGAAAAAGGGTGAGGGTACTTAGGTACCCGCGATTTTCGCTGCAGCTGGCACAGTGCCTGCAAGGCACATTCTTACTGCAATGCGCTCATTATCTTGCGATTATCCTACAGATACGTCGCTACGACTAGCTCCGCCTCATAGCGGACTATTCTTGGCTTACTGCCAAAGAACGCTACAAACATTTGGAATATACGTTGCCAAGCCTCGCCCTTCAAGCCGAATAACCTTGGCAACTTGCTAAAAGTGCTTAAAATTGTCCAAATCAGTTGAAATTAGTGTCAAATGACAGAAAAAACTGCAAGGTGAATAAATGAAGCACCGAGCAAGAAATAAATTTGAAATTTTTGGAAGTTTCAAAGGCAAAGTTATTTAGTTACTTCCTAAGATTGTGTTTCGTGATGCCATACTGAGAATTGAAGATTACTGAAGATCTAAGATGCGAAATTACTTATAATGACGAAAAAAAGTTGTAAGAAGCAAGATTT